TGAGAGGTGGTGCACGGATGTTCAAATAGCTCTATTACAAAAATTCCAAATATCTTGGTTCCAGTGCAGTACAGTCTTTCCTAAGAATACCCCTGGTTAATGTCAGCAAAATAACTAAAGACAAGCATGCAAGTCTGAGAAAGAGTAAGATGTTAAATGAATTCAACAGAAAAAGCTTCCTTTGTAAAATCATAACAAGCCCGTGAACAGCCAGTAACAGACCACAGACATCTGGAAATAGTAACAAAACAAGCGCCAGAAGATGTCTCACTGAAATAAAGATAGGAAGAGTCAAGCATGGAATAGAATGAATTTTATCCTCTTTCACCTATACCCACATTCATTCATCATACCAGAGTGGCCAAAAGCATGTATTATGGGATCAAAGTTCCTGGCCCCATTCTTAGCTCTGCCATGAATGCAAAAGATAGCCACAAATAATCTATTCACTTGCCACTTCACATCTGTAATATAGTGCAATGTTGCTGATTATACTAACTTCAAAGACTAGCAGAGAATACTGGAAAAAAAGTGTGAAACATTTTTGGATTTCATATTTACACAACACTTACATTTTTAACTATGATGGCTTCAACAAAATTAAATGCTCTCCTGAATTTTATAATGGCCAGGCAAAAGCTCAGAGCAAAAGTTAAATCTAGAAGGAAAAAGGCTTATAGAATCTCCATGCTCAATAGCCACCTATAATACATTCCCCCATCACTTTTTAAAAATTGGCATAAGATTGCCAGTGGCCCCAAATACATCACTAATCTTTATGATTATGATAGTGTGATAAAAGAACCAAAGCCTACACTTATTTACCGCAAATATTGAGACCATGGGTTTATTCAGCATCTCAGTTTGAACAGATGTGGAAAGAGAAATACTGCACCATCTGGTTCAGAACTAGATTTAACTGTGTTTATAATACCACCTATAGCTAGAAAGCCCACAGCTTGTGTATCTTTACTAGGACAAACCTGTTAAGACAGGAAAGTTCAAAATTTTAAATTTTTTGGAACTAACCATACAGAGAACATGGTCATAATCCACAACTTCAAATTCTATCACAAATAGATTCTAATCTGTAGCCTATGGGGCTTCTTCAAAATTATTTTAGGAGTTGTTGATCATAAAGAGAACAATGTATTCATTCCTCAAAAGCTAAGACAGTAGTTATTCCTATCCTCCTCTTTCTCCTTCTCTTCTACTGAGAAAGATACTGGAGCTGTAGTGACTGCTCTCTCAGATGAAGCTTTATAAAAGTGCCTCAGCCCAGGCTGATCCACACGAGATAGCCATAAGCAGAACTTCTGTAGAATAGAAATGAGATGTATTGAATCAGTCCTGCATTGTTCTGCAAGCTACAAATTCTAAGAGGACAGTATCAATATAAGCTGTGCACAGATCCCAACTTTAGTTCCTCAATTAAGAAAAGTTGCCAAGAATACAAGTTTGTTAAATGCAGGACAGCACTATAGATACTGGTCCTATATCTTTATCTGTTCTGCTGGTAGCCTTTCTGGTAACAATGGTGATCCCTGGTTTGAAATTTTATTACAGGCAATCAAGTAATTATTAAGTTTCAAGATTACAGTCATGGCCAAAAATATTGGCACCCTTGCGATTCTGTCAGAAAATGCAACCCTTCTCTCAGAAAACTGTTGCAGTTGCAAATGTTTTGGTACTCACATGTTCATTTCTTCGGTTTGCATTGGAACAACACATAAAAAGAGAGAAGTCAAATCTGATACAATCCCACACAGAAACCCCAAAATGCACTGGCCAAAATTATTGGCAACCTGTCTAAATTGTAAGAAATAATTGCTTTTGAAGCATGTGGTGCTCCTTTAATTTGTATTTAGACACACCTGTCACAAGTAACAGGTGTGGGCAATATAGTAATCACACGTGTAACCAGTTAAGATGGAGAAAAGTTAACTCAACCTTTGTGTTGTGTGTGACCCTGAGCATGGAGAAAAGAATGAAGTGTAAAGAGTTGTCTGTGGATTTGAGAGAAAACAATTGTGGAAAAACATTGACAATCCTAAGGCTACAAGCCCATCTCCAGAGATCTTAATGTCCCTGTGTCCACTGTGCACAATATCACCAAGAGATTTATAGCCCATGCCACTGTAGCTAACCTCCCTGGACATGGATGGAAGCGCAAAATTACTGAAAAATTACAATGAAGGGTTGTTCGAATGGTGGATACAGAACCCAGATTAACTTCCCAAGAAATTCAAGCTGATCTGCAGACACAGGGTATAACTGTGTCAGTTCGCACTATCCATCGCCATCTGAATGAAATGGGATGCTATGGTAGGAGACCCAGGAGGACACCACTGCTGACACAAAGGCATAATAAAAAAGCAAGACTGGAGCATACAAAAACTTATGTGACAAATCACAATCCTTCTGGGAGAACGTGCTGTGGACAGATGAGACAAAAGTAGAGCTTTTAGGTCAAGGCACTGTTTACAGAAAAAGAAATGAGGCATTCAAAGAAAAGAACACAGTCCCT